GGGGGGGGGGGGGGGGGAGAATGATTACTGAATTAGGGTTGTGATGTGAGGGAAGGTGGAATTGCTGGAGAAGGGGGGGGGGCATGATGTTTTTTTAATGCAGATTTTGAATTAATTTAATTTGATTAAAGACAACAAGAAAATCTAGACATGAATTGATCAGTTTTTTTCTTCTAAAAAAATATAAACATGAAAACTTGTATTCCAAAACATGTAGTTTACTTTACTGGTTCACAGCAGGCCTGAATTCCAGATAACTCACCTAAAAACAAATATCATTATTATTATCATTATTTTTTTTATCATTATCATTACAATTTTTTATTTTTATACTTATTGTTATTAAACCTTTAATAGTTTAAACTTTTCTATTTGTCAGGCAAAATACATAGTTCAGTTTGCAACTTCAGGTTGCAAAGATGTTGTGGAAGACGATGCCTGGCCGCGTTAAACAAGTTCCACAAGATTCAACAGAATTCAACGGATACGGGGCATAGTACTGATAAACATCTTCACGTGTGATTTTCGATATTTACTCTAAATCTGAACCCTCTAGTAATAAGTTATTAGAAATATATATACTGGAAGTTATTTATGCGTTTTTATTAGAGTCTCACTCACGTCCTCTATAATGTAATGATTAGAAAATACATAGTTCAGTTTGCAACTTCAGGTTGGAAAGATGGAATGATTAGAAAATACATAGTTCAGTTTGCAACTTCAGGTTGGAAAGATATAATGATTAGAAAATACATAGTTCAGTTTACAACTTCAGGTTGCAAAGATAATGATTAGAAAATACATAGTTCAGTTTACAACTTGAGGTTGCAAAGATGTAATGATTAGAAAATACATAGTTCAGTTTACAACTTCAGGTTGCAAAGATGTAATGATTAGAAAAGTTATTTCAGACAAGTGTTTAGCTCCTTTATCTTCCTCCATATTCTTCCTTCTCAGGAATGATGGTGGAGTAAAAGGAAGGGAAGGAAATAAAAACTGTTTGTATGATTTATCTCCAAAGAAGATAAATATGGTGAGCAAATGTTCCCTAGCTGTGCACTAGACGACTCCAGGCTATCTTAAACACTAAATTATAGAAGACCTGACCAGATAACAGGTAAGACTCTTTAATCATATGTATCCTTGCTCCAATTTGTACTTTTCTTTTGTGTATTTTGTATACTATTTCGTAAACCCTATATAATGTGCTAGCGGAACCCAGCGTTGCCCAAGGTATAGTCATAGTTAGTCCCGCCGTTTATCCGCGCAACGGTGCAATGTCGAAAATTACGATTTTTGCTATTCTTTTTCCTGTAAAAGTGGACCCAGACAACTTAGAATCTCAAAACTTGATGCAAGTCAGTTCAGAGGTTCCTGAGTTATGTTCGGACAAACAAACAGACCTGACAGACAAACAGAGGTACAACTTAATATATATAGATATATCCTGAATTTGGTATTCTGTACCTACTTTTCTGTGTCCAATGTATCCAATCTTCTATAGCCTATATCCTAACATCTGAATCTTTGATTTTTAATCCTGTATCATGTACTCTGTATTCTGTACCCTGTATCCTGTACCCTGTATTCTGTACCCTGTATCCTGTACCCTGTATTCTGTACCCTGTATCCTGTACCCTGTATTCTGTACCCTGTATCCTGTA